TTACTGTGTTGCTGCAGCGGGCCACGTTTTTGCTAACCCTTCGAATAGCAATAGGCCACAAATAAACAAAACAGCTGGCCCCAAATCTGTACGTGTTTCACTTAACAGCAAAAGTGCAATTTGCACTTTAGGGTTGCAAGGATGTTGTTATGTTGTGCTTAAAAGAAGTGAGACGCTCCCTCCCAGGGAAGGATGTCAGTGGCGTAACGTAAGCCATCGTGTTTAAAATTTCCATGGCAATAATTAGTTCCTTTGCCACTTAGTGAGCCCTGAAAGAATCAGCCTTAATTTGTGATGCTGTGTTGGAAAAGGCTGCTTGGAAAGGAGAGCAACGTGCTGTTTGCTCTCCAGTTAACGAGTCTGACTCAAATGCACGGTAAAAGAAAAGTTAAAAACTCCCAAAACTCCAAAACTGTGTGTTTTAGATCTTTGGCTCCTTCCAGACTGTTTTCTGGAAGCTCTTTTTATGGTATATTTAAAGAATTTTTCTTACTGTAGATAAGATGTGCAGGTCATGAATAATATGGGGACACTTGGGGAGGGCCTAATAGTTAAGGCAGATCCCTGCAAATAAACTAATGCTGTTAGTTCTCAGTTAGGATACATTAAAAGTTACCCTCCATCACAACTAAATAAGAAAGCAGCAATTAATATTTAATTGCTCTTGGAAAAAAAAAAAGATGTCCTGACTAAGGATATTAAAAAATCTGGAAGTACTGGCATTTAAATTAAGTGTTACATACAGCTTTTCCACCATGGATTTTCCCTGAATTTATCTGCTATGGACTCAAATCTTTTAATTAATTGTGATTTAAGGGTTTATATTAAGAAATGACAAATCATCCAACAAATCTACATTTTTGTCGAGGCAGTTTTAGCATAAAATTTTTGGAGAGGAAACCATGAAAGTACCCATTTGGGCACAAATACTCCCAGAATCAAGTCACTGAGTAGGCAATGGTTCTCATAAATGCAATGAAATATATCCACAGGAACAGCTGAATTTGTTCTGTCCAAGAGCATCCATTTCTGTAACTATATTCATGGAAAAGAAAAAAAAATCTTTTTGTTGGTTATGAATTTTGGAGCTGCAGAAGACAGAGGAGAAACAGCACATTTGCAAGCAACCCACGTCACTGGGGTCTTTGGACATAAAACCACATATCTATCAGCCTGACAACTCCTTCCATCCCAAGGCTACTAATGACTTGAGCTAACGAGAGGCAGCGTGTGCTATATTTGGGAGCAATGTGCCCTTAGTTCTTCCTTTAGAGCACTAATGAGGCGTTCCTTAGCTGCTGAAGGGAAGAAGAGATGCTAATTCCTTGCTCCGAAATCGGAGTCGGCTCCGTAACAGCGGATCTCAAGCATCTGGTAGATGGTTTGCTGGCTGTCAGCAGCAGGGACTATATATTTTCTGGATCAAGCCACCAGCATACCACAGCACTTGGATGGGGCTCAGAAAAAAAAAATAAAACTTACAGGCCCATAAAGTTTAATTCAGTCGTATTACAGAGCAGGCAACATAATAGGCACGTCCCCACCAAAGCAGGATGGTCTCTAATCCTTCCTGTCGCTGATTACTTGGCTCATTTCTGTTAATGCAGCAGGGTAGGCAACTTCTGGAGGTGTTCATTAGCCTGAGAGATGTCGGGGTTTCAAATGGTTTTCAAATTTAGAAGTGCTGGTAGGGAAAAATCCATCAGATTGAAGACACTATAAAAAAAAAATGGAGTGCTCAGCTGAGTGCTCTACAACTGTTCTCATGGAAAGCTACGGCAAATTAATTCCTGTCTCAATTTGTTTTTCCTATCAGGTCTGCTTCTTCTCCTTTTTCTGCCACCCAGAGGTCCATCTGATGCTCTACCAGCATCAGATGAAAGCCAAATAGTTGGAAATTTCATTTTGAACAACGATTTGGGTCTCATCAGGGCAGAAAGCAGATTTGTTTTCAGAGTTTCTATGGGCATTCCTAGCACTTGCTGAGGTGGATGCTGTGATCACCATGCTTGGCCCCACAGAGCAAAACTGGTGGCTTCCCAGCTTCACCTTGGAGGTTCCCTCAGGCACCTTCCAGATGCACCTTCCTTAACTTTTCTTTTCTTGTTCACTCCTGATTTAGCCTTCTTCAAACCTTCATCCTCTTGAAGATGGAGGAATTTGCTTGAAAGAAGCAAATCTGGAAGCTGGACCATTTGCTTGAAAACCAGCAGGCCGCTTTATTTGGTGGCATAAACTCATTTAAGCAGAGACATCCCAGTTTCCATGAGATGAGATTGTGCTGTTAATATCACACATACATTAGGATAATCAGCATGACATATTGTTGTTATCATTGAGTGTTTGACAGGCAGGGTGGGAAGGTGTCACTACTTTGCATGTATTTCCTTCTAAAATTCTAAGTTAAAGAGACACTTGATAATTAAACTCAAAGCAACGCAGCGTACACGAGAAATGGATCATTCTTCATTAGAGCAGATCTCCTAAAGGCTGGTTCATATCACACCACTATTTTTACTTGGTGACTTGTGTCACCAAGGATTTGCAATATGCTTAATGCAGCCCGGAGATAATGGTTTTATACTTATGTTCATGCTCCTTTGAACCCCCAGCAACACAATATAAAGGCGTAATTCAATTGTTCCCTTTTAATGAAGACCCATCTTAAGTCATTAGTGCAATTTATCTCCTCTTTTCGTTTTTTATTAATACTTTAGATATGACCGTGCAGTCTATAAAAGCGGCTAAACCAAGTTTAATGCTGTTTGCCCATCTACTTTATATACTTCCCGGCACTTCAGAAGCACTTATTCAAGTAGATGGTTAGGCGAGTAAGAAGTGGATGTTTTCTTTGATTTTATTTGACTGGAAATAGTAATTTTGTTTGTTTTTGTTTGTTTGTGGAATAATTTTGCCTCTCTTTTAATTCACCATACAAAATACAATAGCCCGTGTCTGTCCCACTAGGGTTCTCTCATTATTTTCCCTTCTTATTTACAGGAAAAAATATGTTTTTAATTGTCTGCTTTGCTGTCCCATCCCAACTCTGTATGAGAACTGCTCTTTCCTCAATATCCATCTTCCAGCTGAAATAAGATTAGAGATTTAGGGATTATGCAGAGATTATGCTTGTGTTTGCACGGGACTCCCGTCTTCACCACTTCAGGCTCCTTTGGTTTCTGTTTTTAGTTTATCAGTGTTTGACACAAAACCGCTTCCTGCTTTACAGCCATATCAAAGGCAACGCGGTGGCTTTGTTTTACTGAGGCAAAAACATACAACTGTAGAGGCGTTTTTAAGCACTTCTATTGTAAGTGTTTTCCTTTCCACAAAAAAAGTAAAAAATAGAAAAAAAAAAAAAGTGAAAACTCATGGATTTCAAAGACTCTTTCCTTTCTTCCTGGTATGGAAACAACATCAAAGCCATAAGAGGGAAGGCAGCATAAAGGTATATTTTGAGGGGTTGTGAGGCATATGGAGAGTATCAAAGAGCCTGGAAGGAGGACTTTGTGACTGGTGTAGACCAGAACAGAATAGTCCAAATCCCCCCATTCCACTGCAAGGCAGCAGTGAAGTTCCCCATGGAGGGAGAAAATTTCATAATCAGCTGAAACTGAGGGTTGTCAACACGTGAGCTTCAAACTTTTGAGCCCAAGTCACTAAAAAAACACTTAATTTTGCTGTCCTGGAGTCTGCTGGGAGATTTTAGGAAGATGCATGGGGTGAAGAGGTTGAAAAACTCTTGCGACTACTGAAGATAATCATCGGCACTTTAGGTGACTCATAACTACTGCTTATTTCCCCAAATAAGACACCTTTCATAAAACGTAAGCAGTTTCCCTTGCCACCTGTCTCTGACACTTGACAGTTGAATTGCAGGAAAATTCTTTAAAAGAAACATCCTCCACCTCCCATTAGCAAAATTGCTGTGTGCAAAAATGCCCAAAAAAGGAAGCAATGAAAATAAAGAGGGGAAAAAAAAAAGAAAAAAAAAAAGATTTTCTCTAAAGTGAAAAAAACTCAATGTAAGAACATGCACTGTAAGAACATGCAATGTAAGAACATGCAGCTTTACAGATATATTTGGGGTAGTTAGCCAGAGCTGAGCAAGACCACAAGCTGCTTCTGCAATGCACCCCATGCAGATGAACGGTGCTCAGCTTTGGCTGGAGTCAAAGGAGAAGTCCAATTCCAAGAGCAGCTAAGACCTTGACTGCAAGCCATTAAGATGCAGTGGATAAGAGATGCTATTGAAGCTGCTCGATCTTGAGTAAGAGCTGTAAGGAGTGTATCTGAGCACTGGATTATTTAGATTTATGCCGCCGTTTAGCAGTTCTGCAGTAGAACCCGTGAGCAAGGAAGGGATACCTCTGGTCTGTTGAAATATTTACAGTACAGTTTGCAGTGTTTGGCTATATTCTTTAGGGGTATCTTTACCCATTTTAGCAAAACCTGCTTCTTTTTATCCAAGCATTCTTTAAATTCTTGTTTCTCCTTGATAGTCAGTCCGTTTAGTGCCTTGAAAGCAGATTATTACGCTTTATATTCAGATGTATTTTTAACATACAAGCAATAGTGGTGGCGCAGAGGGCAAAGGAGCTATCAGCAGAGAAGTCATTGCTAGACATGTATACATACATGTTTAGGTATGTCTAGGTTTGTATGTATATCTCTATGCATTTTAGCAGAAAATATTGCTTTTAAAGCACTGTAACTCTCCATAGGGATCAACAGGGTCACTCCTGAGGGCATTTATGGCACCTTTTGCCTCATGGGGACTATGTTTTGGTGCAAAAACCATGACTGTCACCTTCTAACATAGGACCAACCTGAAAAATGACAGTCAGGAGGAGAAACCAAGGTGCCCAGCTGGAGAGGATGAGAGGTGAGAGGTTCCTTAGCTGATGGAAGCAAAGTGGCCCCAGGTTGTTCCCATCACCAGCAAGAGGGAAGAGAGGGAGAAGTGGGATATATATTGTTCCCCTTCTAGCCCTACTGCTTTTGAGATAGGGGGTTGTAGTAAAGATTCTCCTGGGTTCTGTGGTGATGGTGGCAGTGCAGGTAAGTTGCCCTGTGTGGATCCAGGAGGGTTTTGATGTGGGGCATCAGCTGCCCTAGGACTCATCCTTTCAGCTGAGAGCAGACCATGTTTCCTTAAGAAAGGGAAAGCCTGATCTTTGCATGAGGAAATAAAACAGCAGAATGATGCCACGGGCTGTATTCTAGTCTCCATCTCTGCCTTAATGAGGTTATTAGCTAAAAATGCCTGAGCTTTGGGAGGATTAGGGTAATTTGTGTGTGTGAGAGATTGCTTCTCAAATACTGGTTACCCTGTGGATTGGAGTTTACATAGGAGCTAATGTGTTGTATGTGCTAATGTGTTGTATGGGTTGCTTAGCTTTTTTCTCCAGGTGCCTTGCACACATATTTTTTTAAGGTTTACAGTTGTCTTATAACTGCCCCTTTCTGGGTTAGAGCTTTGGTTTTTGTCGCCACTACTATGTGATTAACAGTAAGCAAGGCAATATGTTTACAAGCCAAGGCCATTAGGTTTTGGATGATTAAATACTTCTCCGTTTTCCAGATGGCAATTCCTGTGGGATTTCTCCCTTTGGGAGAGCACGTGGGTGCTGCTACCTGCTTTACCCTTGGGCATAGAGAGGTGTGAAGGAAAGAGGGGAAACTGGCCAGTGTCACCTCCATCCCAGAGCCTGGGGAGATAAATGGGCCACAGCACCGAGTTCCAAAGCTCAGGTCAGACCCCTGAACTTGCTTGAAAACTCTGTAAAAAGTCAGCCTGGAGAGCAGAGAACAGGGCTCAAGTCATTTGAAACCCGTACATTTACATTAAATCCCAATTTTTATAAATGTCATACTAATGTTCCTCAGCCCCATCCTTGTGAGGAGGTGACAGCGAGACCCTTCCTGCCCTTGCAGGTCTCCGATGCCTCCGTGGGAGATTTGAAAGGCTCCAGCGTGGGCACGAGGCTCTTAAATCATCTTAAATCCGGGGAGCATCGGGCTGGATGGGAGCCCGGCGCTGGCTGCGCCGCGAGGACGGAGCCCTGGACACCAGAACCACTTTGATCTTTGCTGCTGGCCCGTCAAGATGATTCACTTGCCTTGCTCTAATCTAAAAAGAAAGTTTCCTGGAATGAAGCAATTCATAATAATCAAAATGTTTCAGCTGTGGACAGGAGCTGCGGCTTGTGTGAAAGGAAGTCCTTGAAGGAATTTTAATAGGATTGCAGGGCAGAAGCCAAACTAAGATGCTTTTATACATCTTATATAGAGGAAAAAATGTTTAGAAGGATGATTCTTACTAATTGCTACCTAATATTCATTGAAATACAGTTTTTTAGACTGGAGCTGTGAATTTTGCTTTTGAGGGCTTTGTGTTTGTTTTATGTTTGTAGTTGGATGCATATATTTCCAAAAAAGCATAAGTTTCCAAAAATGTCTCTTCTGGTGTGCATGTGCATAGCAGGAGTTTGCATGAACCTAATTAGCAAGTATGAAAGAAAAAAGGATGGGAAATGGGATTTTCATAAAGAGTAACTTTAGTCTGTGCTTCCTAAGCTCCACCTATGGGTAGTGCAGAGATTAAATCACAAAAGAACCTAATTTCAGCTACCTAAAAGGTGGTTAGGCAGGTAAACCCCATCTGACAGAAGCTGGCCTTCAGGAACCCTTTCCCTGCCTCTTTGCAGGCACAAATTAAATGAACTCAGCCAGTTGCTTGAATCCAGAAGTTGCCATTCTTAAAATGATGGCTGTGGCCAAAAGATGACAGGGAAGCAAGGAATAAATTGTTCTTTTTGTTTGTTTTTCTTTCCCAGCTTAAACACAGGCTGTTGAGCTCTTTTTTTTTCCCCACATCATGATAGGCCATCAAAGAACTTCTGGCCTTGTCTATAGCCTTGTGTAATGGAGCTTTCTAGCCCTATTTGTCAAATAAAAATAGCATAGGAGAAAGACAACACACAGAGTTTGCACATCCCTGAGCTACTCCATTTTTGTGGTATATGGGTTTTTTTTTTAATATAACAAAATAGCACCTACCTCCACAAATGCCCTTTTTGCTATTTAGCATGTAAAAATGAAGCTGAATTGGAACAACAGAGTGGCTTTTGCTATTCATTTGCCAGGATCCCAGTTATAGCACCTGTATGCACTCTCTATTTCTACCTCTTTATTTGACTTTTTAGGCAAAATGGAATATTTACGCACATGTAGAACCATTTTTCTCAGGGGCAGAGTGGCTGCTTGAACACAGCAGCACGTGACACCTTTCCCACGAGGTGGCCAAGGAGATAAGTTTAGCAGCAGCAGGAGTCATTCATTTCCCTCTGGGAAATCGGTATAAATGCTTAATATCCGCAGGTTATCTGCTTAACCTTCCCCTCAAGGACACATCAGAAAGGGGGGGAAAAAATGGTCCTCGCTGTTGAATTACTGGCAAATTTTATATAAAAACTTGAAGCCTTGTGCTGCTCGTTGTATCTTAGTGCAGCATTGAAATCCACGCGATCTCGCCACGGCCGAGAGCTCGGCCGAATTTAGAAATCAATGGGATAATTATAGTGATCCATGAGTTGTCATAGGAAAGACTAAACAAAGATGAATTTCTCCTTGCTCAGTAAATAAACAAACGTGCGCCTTAGAAGGGATCATAAATTTTCAAGCTTCAGGGCAATAAGCAGCCTCTAACTAATAGGGTTTCGGGAGAAATACTCGGCGAGATATACTGTTCCTAAAATAGACTTAATGGTTGCTGGCTTAACACAGGAATTGCTGAGCAAGGTTGCTCGGCCCTTAGGGATTTGGTGGGTGTTGTGATACCAGGGGTAGCTGCAAGGTCTTCCATTGCTTTCCATGTGTTTTCCAACTGCTGGAAATGGGTCTCCACATGCTCGTGCTGATCCTTGAAGCACTTTTTTAAGGTAGGACCAGGTTCCCCTTGATTCCATGCTGGACAAGTCGGGTTTTCCACAGATTCTTCCTTAAAAATCCTCAGTTTTTGAGCAGAAGATGCAGGAATTCTTGTTTCAGGAAGAGAAGGCCACCTGATATGCTCCTGGTCACATATGAGGAGACAAGATCTGCTGCTGAGTAGCAGCAGGCTCCAATACAAAAGTTGATAAGCTCTTATCAGGAAGTTCCTGGTGGCCTGATTCCAATGGGGCATGATGATATTCCTCTGTTGCATCTGCCTTTTGCTAACACGGGCTGCTTGGACTCTTCCTGTATCCCTAGAAAAGGCATAGGACCTTCCATAAACCATTTCAGTTTATATTCATGTATGGGGCAATCTCTGCTTACATCTTGGGAATCAGCCAAATTGTTTTCTCCATAAACTCCTGTTGGGATTCAGTCCCCCTTCATGGTTTTTTATTGTTGTTTTGGGGGGATTTTTGTTTTTTTTACTTGGGTCAGCTCTAATTAACATGTACAGCAGCAATATTTGAAGCAATAAATGGCTTTGTGCATGTTCATACATATGGTTGCAGAACTATTTATATATATGTCATACACAGGACTTGGAAAAGTAATTGCAGGAGTCGGGGTTATCTGCAGTTATGCTGCTAAACCCTCTTGCCTTCATCCTTTAAAGGAAAAGTGGTCTTTAGATGTGGTAGAAATGGGTGCTAAATGTTGCTTAAAGAGATAGAAATCACAGTGTGGGATTCAGCGCCCACAATACGCTATGCTGGCTGATGAAAGAGCTATAAGGCTGCAAATAAATTTGTAGAAGGAAAAAAAAGTACAACTTTTTGGTGCATGTGGCTTTCCACTTGCTACCACCTTCCTGAGGATGTGGGTTACCCCTCTAGTGCAGCCAGGCAAGCAGTAAGATGTCCCCATGCAGATAATCTCCTGGCAGTTGAGCTCCTGTGGAGTGAGACCACTTCTGCATGCAGTGAAACCTGAACAGTAAGTTTCCAGCAAGTGGCTTTCCTATTTATGTACAGTGCACTTAAAGTTAACTACCTGAAAACCAGTGTATAATGTCTACAGATATGGAAATAATAAAGGGCAATTGCCTGAAGGCTTCAGTAAAATATTTCTGAGGAACTGTCGTTAATTGATGCTGGATGAAATCTAGAGCTGCGTGCTTGAATTGCCAAAGAACATGAGCAATAAGAGAAATTAGTGGCATTGAAAATCACCGTTTCTTATGAGGACTGTGTGCTTGGAGCCTTGTATCCCAGGTCTTGGTACCACAGGCAAGGCAGGAGGAGGGTTATCTTGGCAGCCAAAAGGAGGGATTTTCCCAAGGGATATGAAGCAGTAGATCACTGGTGTGACCAGATGGGACAATAATATTCAGGAGCTTGTGGAGAAGTTGGTCATAACAAAACCTGCAGTCAGATTATTATTGAAGAATAAAGCAGAAATGAAACCAATTTTTTTCCTTTTTTTTTTTCTCTCCCTATACTCAGGACTAGCACTAGGAAGACCTAAGTTAGAACATGGATTTTTCAGAAACATTTCTTGCTATAAAATAAGACCCATGAAATGGGTTAATTAGGAACACAGTCTCTCCATCCTGAAGGAGATTGTATTATACTGTAACTTCTCAGGTCTGTTGGAGACTGGGGTTTATCAAACACCGGGAAAATGGGCTTGTTTTATTGTCCTTCTCTAGTAATTCAGTTATGAAAATATTAGAAACATTTTTCCATAGAAATGAAAATTTTACTTCCACCACAGAAAAATATCCTTCTGAGCTCTGCTGACGTCATTTGTTAAGTAATGATAATTGTGTAATTTCTGGGCTATTATTTATAAATGTTGCTGTTGACCCCACAGAGTCTGGAGTTTTCTCCTGGAACTTAATACCAGTTTTGGTGAGCATTGTTAGGGACAGTTGAGCTAATCAGTGAAAAAGCCTGTGGTTTTGAGATTTTTTTGTTTGTTTGTTTGTGGGTTTTTTTGTTTTATTTTGTTATTGGGTTTTTTTGCCCTTTTTAAAGGCACATGTGCATTTTGCCTGGTGATCATGGGCTTCAAGCCCTGGTATGGTCAGGATTTACACAGTCAGCACCCACTGTTGTCACAGTGACTTATCCCCCCCATTCTAGGGCAGTAAAGGAGATAACTGCACTCCAACAAGTGCTTGCATCTTTATAATGCAAACTTGACAAATAATAAACTTGAAGGAATGTAATAATTAATAGGGAAAGCAAGTCTTTGACCGCAGTGGTGATGAAGCTGTAAATAAATCCAAGTTTTATCGCCTGATCACCATCTCCGGAGGCTGATCTGAGAATATTTTTATTTATTTATTTTTAAGACCAACTATCTTTGGATTTGAGGTTGCAAACTTTGAGCCAGCACAGTCCATGGAGTGGTCATGGACAGGTCACTTCATTAGCCTTGGTTTTCCTGTGGGCTCAGCTGAGATGCTCATTTCCTTTCCCCCCCTTTACAATGAGATGCTTCTTATAAAGAATTCAGTGTAGGAGAGCTGTGTTATTATATATTATTTTTAATATTATTGTTCAGCAGCAATGTACTTCAAGTGCATGGTAATTTCTTTGTGTCACCAGACAGATACAAAAGAGAATTATTCAGAGATTATTAGGCAGCAATGCGGCTTGCTGACTTGTGTGCAGCTCGTGTATCGTAAGTGCGTGTAATTAGGACTAAAAACACCGCTAAAGATTGAGTGGATTGTTGTCTGTTTCTGCTGTTCGGATTTATAATTGCCAAAAATAGAAGTATTTCTTGTCTTTAATTCTCTAGTTTCTGTGTGTGGTTTTTCAAAAACATGCAATTCTATAATTATATAGAATTATATAATTATAATAGAGTTATAATGTTGCAAAGGGTATATCTGGAAAACGTAAGTAACTTAACAGTCTCTTCTTTGAAAGACAATCCTATTTTAGATATACATATATAAACACATACATACATGGCTGCAATTTTCACACTGCATTTCTGTGCTCTGTGCCCTCCTGGCTGGATCCATGGTCTGCACATGAAATCATTCCTGTCCTCTTTCTTTTGTAAAGGAGTAAAGGAAATAGCTCCCTTCAAAAGCACCTTGACAATCTCCAGCTTATTTCTTCTTCCTTTGACTTATTGACAGGGAGACCTCTTTCCTTGAAGCTTTATCTGGTTTTAGTGATTTTTTTTTTTTTTGACTTGCACACAAGTCTTCAGCCACGACACCTTTGCATTTGCACCATGCAGCAGCTGGAAGATACTGTTTCCCCTCATATTTCCCGCAGGAGTGATATGCAGTGAAAAACTCATTTAATTTTTCCCCTATATCCTGTCTGCTTGGTATTAAGTTTCCACCCTAATCCCTTAGTGGGCTAATTACTTCAGTTTCCCCCTGCTTTATCTCTTT